GCCTGAAAGAAATCATCCTCTTTGGCGCCACCTTCTGGTCGTTTCTTGTAATGACAGTTCAGATCATGTGACTCACAAGTCAGCTGGTCATTGTTGATTGTAATGACTATTTGTATCTTTAATATCTTAAGCACGCCTCTTCATTCATGTTTGCTCTTCTGTGGGACGAACAAAAGAAGTCGGTCTGAAGAAATGTCAATATGTTTGGTTTGAATAACAAAAGGTGTTGTGCTAACATGCTAAGGGTAATCTCCTGCTAAGCTAAATGTGGCTATGTCTTGTTGCAGGTGCTTAGATTAGAATTATTATCCTTAAGATGTACTATTAAGATGTCTTCCTGCTGTGTTTTGAAGCTTCTTCTTCTTCTTCAAATGGAAAATGAAATGGAAAAAGAAGAGCTGATTGAAACTCCTAAACTAAATCTGTCAGGTTCTGAGTACACATCCGGGACAGGGTGATGTGTGTGGACTGAATAATGAAGACGAAGCTCTGAATGATGAAGAGGACAGCAGCGTCTCTCGGATGGTTTGGGCTGCATATGGCTCCTCTGACAAACAGCTGATGTTTGTTTACGCTCATGTTAGAATGCATGTTGCTGCTGCTGGCGTGCAGGGACTGATCTCAGCCATGTGTGTTTGCTTTTTAGAGATTTCCTCCAACTCTTCATGTGCTGCTCCTCCAAAACAGTGTCGCGGCATTTCGTGTCATAGTCACAACATGAATCTATTGATTTGTGTTGTTTCCCCATTTCCTTCCTGTCACACAGAACGATTTTAAAAGCAATGTAAATAATAACTGTAAGGGAATATTTCTGTCTTACTCCTAAGTGTCAAAGAATAATTCTTCCTTACTCCTAAATATTTAACCTTTCTGTGTGTTGACGTTTACGACCAACCCTAAGTCTGTTATCTGTCTTAAGGAATGGGAAGTCTCAGCTATTGTTGACATTACCAGTTTTATGACCGGTCAACTCTCGGTCACAGAGCCTAAGAGTCAGATAAGTGATTCAGTGTCTCCAGGTGTTAACGCCCCAATATGTTGTTCACTCTCTGTAAACTAGTTAAAAGGTCTATCGAGAGATAGGCTGGGGAGAATTGACGTGACAACCCACCCGTGCAGTCAGAACCTTTTGCTGCTGTGACTTGTGATATGAATTCTCCGGCCGTTGACTTGTAATAAACATCATTGTTTGACATCAAAGCTCCAACTCTCCTCGTGTCTCTCTGAGTCCTGACTCTCCATTGCTGCAGAAGTTTCCCTAAGTAATGTACATTTTGGAAACAGCTGCTCACATGTTAAAACAATCTCAAGCTGTAAGGCATTTATACTTTTAAAATAAAATATATATATTTTTTAAAGGAGGATTCCGCCAACACATGTGAAAAGTGTGCTCTTGGCATCATCACTCTATTTCCATGTCTAAGAGATCCATACTCAAAGAATGGATACGTAAGGCTATGAATGAATGACCTGTATTCGAATTTGTGAAAAGGAAGTGTGTTCATTCTTAACTTTTAGAACAACCGTCCTGTAATGCTATCACTTCTGTGCTCTCAGTTTTGATTTCTTTTTGGAGGTTACAGGAACACTACTATGATGCAGGTGGTGGATCTGTCTACTTGGCATGGAGGATAAAGACGGTTCAGCGCAACACTGCAGTTCAGTCCCGGAGGAGCTACCCCAGCACTACCTATCAAGATGGTCCAAAGAGCAAGAGGGATTTTCTCTTGACTTGTGAGCAACTGACTGGCGAGGAATGCAGAGAGGCAATATCCTTCATGAAGCATTCAGCTGACGAATCAGTTGTCAAAGAGATGATGAAGACAACATTTCAGTGTCGGCAAGCAATGACTCGGGACCAGCAAGCCTCTTCAACAGTCCTGGATGTGTTTCCTCGTTTCCTCGACGTCCTTGGCGTGGTAAGAACAACATGTCATATTTAGTTTCTTATTTGTAAATGATTTGGATGGTCTGAGGGTTCATGGTGTTTCTCCTGTAGGTTGACCAAGATTTCACAATGATGCTTGGAGAAGAGATTTCAGGAAAAATGTTGTCGAGATGGCCCACTTTCTTCAAACCTAGGACCTTGGCAGACTGCAAGAACCTACACTCTAATGTTCATGTTGATGACCATTGTCTGCACAACAAAACTCAAATGAGTCAGGCAAGTAGTTTCTCTTTCAGATTTTGTTTACTGAAAATCTTGAGACCTTTCAATGTTATCGGTTGCATAACCTTGATTTAAGACTATTTTCAGCTTTAAATGACTGACTGTTATATTTGCATCTTTTTTGCCCCTAGGAT